TTTATTTATTTATTTATTTATTTATTTATTTATTTATTTATTTATTTGAGGCAGGGTTTCTGTGTAGCTTTGAATCTTATCCTGACACTCACTCTGTAGACCAGGCTGGCCTCAAACTCAGGGAGATCTGCTTGCCTCTGTCTCCTGAGTACTGGGATTAAAGGCATGTGCTACCATGCCTTTAATTTTACTATTGATTCAAAGATCAATAGTAAAATTACTTACATGTCACAAGCCAGTCACACGAGCAGACACTGGCAGTCAAAAACTGCCAGTGTGGTGTCTTGGCTTGTAAAAGTCTGACCACCTCAACTGGATCTCAGGACTCCACAAATGTACAATTGAGAATATGCCCCACCCACAAAAATCAATCAATTAAAATAGTCATTAGCTATGGTCTATAAACCCAGAACTCAGGAGGCTGAGGCAGGAGGGTTGAGTTTTCAAGGCTAGCCTGTGTTCCATAATGAGTCTATTTCCAAAAACAGAGAGAAAATGCTATCAGTACTGTATTGCCAGAAACATGTGGGGCTTTGACTTATTTAGTGTATGTGCATACATGTAGTCAGCTGTTCTGTTCTAGCACTCTTCACGTTATTCCCATGAAGAAGCTCTCACTGAACCTAGGGATGGGCCAGCAGCCAAAAGCCCTCATCTCTTCCTTACAGTGCTGGGGTCCTAAATGCATGTGTGGGTGCTGGAGATCCAGGCTCAGTACTTGTGCAGCACACACTCCTGTCCACTGAGCCATTTTCCCCAGCCCTACTGCTTTGCTTCCTGCTGTTAGCTCCAGACATTTCTTAGCAGTATCTTTCATGCCGCTATGTTAGCACCCAGATTCCACTGAATTAAACATGAAGATAAAGAAAAAGCTCAACCAAAGTAGAGAAAGTCAGATTTTAGGATATAAGAAATAGGAGCAAATTTTCATCAAGAAATTTTGGAGCCGTGATGGTTTTCATGTATAAATTTGACTATCTTCTTCTCTAACATGTCTATAATTTCACTCATCATATAACAGTAAAAGTTTCTTATTCTTTTTATAATCCTCCAAAATGAAACTATTCTTTCATAAAACCAAAAAATGGTTAATAACTAGAGTAAGTAGTACACATGCAAGTACACACTGAATTAATAAGCTATAAAACCAGGCAGTGGTGATGCACACCTTTAATTCCACCACTAAGGAGGCAGAGATAGAGGCAGGTGAATCTCTGTGAGTTCGAGGCCAGCCTGGTCTACAAAAGTCCAGGACAACTAGGGCTACACAGAGAAACCTTGTCTCAAAACAAAGAAAACGATTGATAATCTATCTATCTATCTGTCTGTCTATCTATCTATCTATCTATCTATCTGTACACACGCACACACTCACACATATGTGGAGTTTTAGGACAATTTAGGGTGACAACTCTGAATTTAATCCAACTCATTCTAAATTCCACAAAGTGGAAATAATATAATTCATGACATCTTCAAATTTTGGAAAATCTACAGAAACACTACATCACATATTCAGTAAATCCAATGGTTACATTTCACATTGTATGCACATTTACTATTGATCTTTGAATCTGTGCTAACCTCGTACAAAGGCCAGTCGTTAAGTGTTAAGAATGCCCAAATACTTTTTGTTTGCTTTTTTCTTTTGTTGTCATTGTTTTTATTTTTGTTTGAGACAAGGTTTTATTGTGTAGACCAGGCTAGCCTTGAACTCACAGAGTTCTATCTCTCAAGTACTGGGATTGAAGGCACGTGTCACCACTTCTTGCTTCTCTGGCTTTGCTTTGTTAAGAGCCCTGATCTAAGGACAATGTGGAAAATCAGAACAAATACTGGGTGGACATGGTGACTCAACCTTATGAGGTGAAGACAGAATCTCTAAGACAAACTGACTAGTGAGACTAGCTATAATGAATTCTGGGTTTTATTGATACCCTGACTTAGAGAATAAGATGGAAGAGCAATTGAGGAAGATTCCTTGCATCAACCTCAGGCCTCCACATACTTGCACACACAAAAACATGCACCTTCCTGCTCACATGCACACATATCACACACACATGCACACACACGCATGTGCACACACACACACACACCCGAGCTCTATAGAGAGGTGGCTCAATGATTAAGAACATGTATTGTTATTGCAGAAGACTCAGGTTTGTTTACAAGTATTCACATGATGGCTCACAAATATCTGAAACTCCAGTTCCAGGGGCTCTGATATCCTCTTCTGACTTATGGATACTGGGTACACATGTAGTATACATACATACATGCAGACAAAACATCAGACACATAAAATTAAACAAAACTTTAAAAAAAAAGCCAGATGTAGAGGCACAAATCTGTAATTACATCCCAGCACTGCTGCTCACAGGCCACCAGCTTATACTGTGTAGTATCAGCAATAAGAGAGATGTTGCTTTAACGCAGTGGAAAAGGAGAACCAACTTCTGAAAGTAGTCCCCTTACTGCCATCCCACAAAATAAACAAGCAGCAATAAAAAGCTCCAACCTGATGTAGCCTTAGGGCTGGTTGCTGTGTCACAGCATGACAGTTACTGCTGCCTACCTGGTAGAGGCTAGGCCTTTCCCGTTGTGAGGAACTTGCCCTCTGCAAGAGCTGTGGCACTCCGCCGTGACTCTTGGCTCCCTCTGAAGCTCCTGTGTAATATTACAAGAAAAGATCTGGCTTTAACTAAATCCTTTTGGAGGTTTAGAATACAGGTGCTTTTCCCTTTGATTGTGAATAGCCCCTCCCCCAGTCTAGAATTGTTTGTGTGTATGTCGCTGTGAGCTTTGTGTGAGTACAGGGGTGTGCATGCCACCTTGTTGGAGTACATCAGTGTGTCAGATGCATTGCTGCTGCATCTGCCAAGCTAGCTGGCCTTTGGGCATCTAGGGATTTTCCCATCTCCACCTTTATCACACCATAATTATGTACACTGGGATCCCAGACTTGGGCTGCTTCATCTGACATTACTTGGGGAATTCAGACTCCATCTGGTTCTCATGCTTGCAGGGCACCTTACCTACCAAGCCATCTCCCCAGCCCACTTCAGAGGAATTTGGTTTTAATGTCACTAGCTAAATATTTAATTCTAGCAGTTTGGGGCAACTTTTTGCGTGTTATGGTTGTTATTCATGAAGCTCCTGTCCCTGGTCTCACACCTGTCTTTAAATGTTTCACCTCAGGAAGGACAAAGTGCAGGTCCCCCACCCTTGATACCAGGCCTAGGGCAGCAGGGAGCACAAGGCCGCATCCCTCCTCTGAACCCTGGACAAGGACCTGGCCCTAACAAAGGTAAATATGTGCTTGGCTGAGGAAGAGTTTGTATTCTACCACTGTTGTGTGCATTTTACAGTAACCAGCTTTGTTGGAGATTGATACAGTGGCACTGGAACAGCTGGGAAAACAGGGTCACAGTCATTTCAGGTGATAGCTTACTTTGTCTTTTGTTGTCATAGGTAATGCTTCCTTAGACAGTGATGCTAGCCAGAGAAGATGAGTTCCACACCACCAGAGGCCGGTAGTGAACACTGAGAAACCCTGGTGTTTGTGTCTGTGCCTCAGGTCTTGTGCCTGTGGGATGCAGGGCCATGTGTCCGGCCTTCCAAAGAGCTGAGTTGCCTCTGCTTTAGACTCCTTGATAGGGTAGAGGATGCAGGCTATTGATGATGTTCTTATCATTAGCCCTCCCTTTGCCCCATTGTCCCATATTGGACTCTTTAACTGCATACATTGTTAGGCACCGTTTGAAAAGAAGAAAGAATGGCTCTAATGTACATGGGAAGTAGAAAAAGACAAGTTCTCCTGAGTAAATTGGGAGCATGGGGACCTTGGGAGAAGGTTGAAGGGGAGGGGAGAGGAAAGGAGGGAAGCAGAGAAAAATGTGGAGCTCAAGAAAATCAATTAAAAAGAAAGAAACAAAAAAGAAAAGAAAGCAATGTACCGATAATATGGAAAGCAAAGATGAGGACTGTCAGCATGTATGGGCATATGGCCATTTGGAAGTTACCAGAGGCTCTGGTTGATCTGGCCTTGAGCCCTTGATCCAAGGTGAGCAGCATTGGAGTAAAGGGTAAGGTCTAGCAGGAGAATTAGCATGGAGGAACGTGGGGGGGGGGGGGGGGGGGGAGTCGGTATGAACAGAAGTGAGGTAGGAGTGAAATGGTTCCATTCGGCACCCCTAGGAAAGACAATACACTAGCACAGGGGCACTGTGGGAACTATACCTCACAGTGCTAAAGACTTTTATTACTAACTGGCCAAACCTGCATGCCATATGGTATGTGCTAGGTGTTTTTGCCCATCCTATTGGATTGAGAGAAGTCCTTGTCAGCATTTATAGCCCTGGGAGTTTAGACTTTAAAGCTCAGCTTTGGGCCGGGCAGTGGTGGCACACGCCTTTAATCTCAGCATTTGAGAGGCAGAGGGCAGACGGAACTCTGTGAGTTCGAGGCCAGCCTGACCTACAAAGCGAGTTCCAGGGCAGCCGGGATAGCCAGAGAAACCCTGTCTCGAAAAAAAAAACAAACAACTTTAAATTTCTCTGGGCTGTTAAAGGTAGGAAAGGGCAGGGATTTGGAGAGCGTTTACTTTCATTTCTTTTGCATAGAGGTGGTGGCAGTAGATACAGAAGGATTTGTCCGGGAGAAAAAAGATGAAGTTTCCACGGAGGTTTGGGGGCCTTGGGAAGGGCATTTGTTCTCCACTCGGTACTTCCATTAGTGAATGAAAGTGGCCTCTCTGCCACACCTGCATCTGTCTCCACTTGTTCCTGCTCGTCTTGCTCGCCCCTCTCTCTCCCCTTCTCCCTTTCTCCTTCCTTCTCCCCACCTGCCCTGCTGCCTTCCCTCCCCCTCTTTCTCCTAGGGACCCGAGGGAGCAGGGAGAGACACGCACGTTGCCTACCATCCCCTCCTGGAGTAGTTGCCACCACCACATCACCGTGTGTAGTGGTAGGTTTCTTTCCTTGGAAGAAAGTTGACAGGCTACTTTTAAACAGAGATGAGTATTTTGTAGGTTAATGAAGTCCAAGTGGAACCTTGGGTCAGTTGTCACCCATGTGTGAAGTTCAGAGAACCTGAAGTTGGAGAAGCAGTTGTCTTAGTTTGTGTTTCTGTTGCTGTGATAAACATCATGATGAAAAGCAGTTTGGGGAAGGAAGGGTTTATTTTACTTTAAAGCTTACAAGTCCATACCAGGGTCGTTAGGAACTCAAGGCATGAAGCTAGGGGCAAGAGCTGGTGGAGAGGCCATTGAGGAGCACTGCTCAATGGTTTGCTCTCCGTGGTTTGCTCAGCCTGCTTTCTCACACAGCCTCACACTTTCTCACACCAGGTCAGGGCTGACACCACCCACAGTGAACTGGGCTCTCCCATATCAGTCATCTCTCAAGCACCACAGGCTTACCCACGGGCCAATCTAGTGGGAACTCTTTCTCAATTGAGATTCCCTCTATCAAAATGACTCTAGCTTGTATCAAATTGGCAGAAAACTCAGCCAGCACAGCTTCAGGAACAGTGAGTATTGAGTGCTTGTCTGATAGGGGAGTGGATCCGGGATATTTGCAAACCACCTGAAGAAGGGACGGATGAGCTCAAGTTCAGAGACTTTCCTAACATCACATTTTCATGCTGAGTTTTCCAAGTTCCAATCCACGCTTTGTGGAGAGAGGTTGAGACAGCTGGAGGAATGAAGAATGAAAGGGTGGGGGTTGGAGGCAGGGATCAGAGATGTTGACTGTCTGACTGATACAGGAAAAGTTGTTCTTATCGACAAGAAACTGCAGCCGAAGGGCGTGGGCTGGGAAGTCTCGAATGAAATTCCTGTCAGAAAAAATTGCTAATGATAGCACATTTGAGGCACATCATTCCCAGAAAGATCAAAATAAGGTATACATCCAAACCCCAAAGTTGAAGGCCAGCAGGGCTCTTTTGTCCCCAAGCAGTTGTTAGAGGGGCCCATGGTTCCAGGAGCCTTATAGAAGAATGTGTTACGATTTCTACAGTGTGATGTGGCATAAAGCTGACCAGGCCAGGGCTAAAGCAGTGGGTGACAGCAGTGTAAACCTGGTGCCTGTGATGGCTTTGTGGTGTTTCCATGAGCAGAAGTGAGTGTAAGTGTGTGTGTGTGTGTGTGTGTGTGTGTGTGTGTGTGTGTGTATAAAATTTATTCTTTAGTTGGAGACAGGATCTCACTGTATATCCCTGGCTAGCCTGAAACTTACTCTGCAGACTAGCCTGGTTTCAAACTCAAAAGAAATCTGTTGACCTTTGCCTCCCAAGTGCTAGGTTTAAAGGTGTGTGTCACTACCGCTGGCTGAGGAGAATTCTTGATACCACAGCCTCCTAGCTTTTAGCTTGCAGCCTGACTTTTTTCTGTTGTGTCTCTTGAGTATCAAACCAGGGACCCTGCTGAAGTCACAGGAAGGACAGGGGCAGGGGTAGGAAAGACCATTCTCGTGCCAAGAGTTCACTTATGTTTTCAACATGTGGCCGAGAAGTGGACACTTCGTAGAGATTAGTAAGTATCCCTAGGTCAAGTTACAAAACTGAAGGTTGTACCCCAAGCCCCACGGTTTCCCCATTATATGATGCTTTGGGATGTTTATCTTCTAAGTATATTCAGAACCCTGGAGGGAAAGCACTAGAGGGCAAAGCACATCCTAAAATTAGCAGGTCTTCTAGAGCTGGCTGTGGAAGCCATAGTAACCCTCAGCTTTGTTTCTTGTAGGTGACTCTCGAGGCCCTCCCAACCATCACCTGGGCCCTATGTCAGAGAGGCGGCATGAGCAGAGCAGTGGCCCTGAGCACGGGCCCGACAGGGGGCCTTTCCGGGGTGGCCAGGACTGCAGGGGTCCTCCTGACAGGCGTGGCTCTCACCCTGATTTCCCTGACGACTTCAGCAGACCAGATGACTTCCACCCTGACAAGCGTTTTGGCCACCGGTTAAGGGAATTTGAGGGGCGAGGAGGACCCTTACCACAAGAAGAGAAGTGGAGGCGAGGGGGACCTGGACCTCCCTTTCCACCTGACCACAGGGAATTTAGTGAGGGGGATGGCCGGGGTGCAGCCCGAGGCCCTCCAGGGGCATGGGAAGGCCGCAGACCTGGAGATGAACGCTTCTCCCGGGATCCCGACGACCCACGTTTTCGGGGGCGCAGAGAAGAAAGGTAAGGAAGTATATTCCGTGGGCTCTGCATTTCCCTAGCCTCACTACTGAGATATATTCCGTGGGCTCTGCATGTCCCTATCCTCACTACTGAGATATATTCCGTGGGCTCTGCATTTTCCCTAGCCTCACTACTGAGATGTATTCCGTGGGCTCTGCATTTTCCCTATCCTCACTACTGAGATGTTTTTCCTTTCCCAGGGGAGAGCACTACGATGATTTAGCCCTGTGTTCTATTTGGTTAGCATTTAGACTTTCTTTTCTTATTTTGTTTATTTATTTAGGTTTTGAGACAGGTTTTTCTCTGTGTAGCTTTGGAGCCTGTCCTGGAACTCAATATGTAGACAAGGCTGACCTCGAACTCACAGAGATCCGTCTGCCTTCTGAGTGCTTAGATTAAAGGCATGTGACTCCACTCTCTGTCAGCATTTAGACTTTAAAGTTATGTTATATGTAGTTTTCTATTATCTTTGCGTTTGAGACTTTTGTCTCTCAGGTTGTTTTGATACAGCCTTATGCTGTAGTGCAGGCTGTCCCTGTAGTCCCAGTTCTTGTCTTTGCCTCCTGAGAGGAGTGAGCCACTACTCCTGGCTAACTTCTGAGTTATGTTAAAGAGATGGGAGACTCGTTATGCTCAGAGAGTGTCTTGGATCCATCTGACTTATGGTGTCCAGATTAATTAGATAATGAGACCTGAGCCAGATACTATAGTTGAAAATAAAGGGCTGTGGGGCTGTAGAGATGGTTCAGTCGTTAGGAGCACACTGGCTGTTGTAGGGGGCCAGCACCCACATGGCAGCTCACTGCTGTCTGTAACTCCAGTTCCAGGGTACCTAATGCCCTCATTCAGGCAAAACACCAATTCATACAAATTAAGAAAAGAAGGAAGAAAGGAAGGAAAGAGAAGAAAAGAAAAGAGAAAGAAAATAAAGGGCTTATAAAATAGGCTAAGGTTTTGTGAAATTGCTCAAAGGTCTTAACAAAGTCAGCTTGAAATAAACATCATCTTCCTATTAAACTTAGGTCAGGCTTGAATTCTCAGCCCTATGGATATAAAGAATAGAAGCAATGCAGAGGAAAAAAAGCCAAATTGGTATGATTTCAAGTGATATTGAGCATAACCAGTGGCAGTTGTGATTAATGTTTAAGAACTGACATCTGCATAATGTTCATGATTTCTTGAATCTCTGCGTTTTGTGCAAACTTCACATTTTGTTTTGTCTTCATTTATCTTTTTGTTTACCCAGGACATATTTTCAGCTTAGACTCTTACTGCCATTGCTCCTTTCTGCACTTGCTGTTTCCTCCACCTGAAACAACACTCGGCAGATAGCTGTGACTCACTCTGGTTAGAGCTTCCCCTAAACAGCTCTGTGCCTCTTGTAGGACTTCTAGGGCAGTCTTTCCCTTTGAATCACATAGGCACCCCTTGGTGTATGACGGCAGTTTCAGAGACCCTTCCACACCAAAGTCCTTGAGCAGTTAGGTAGTTCCTTGTATAAAGTGCTGTAGGGTTTACACAGAACATACACAGTACCTCATACAATATGCATGTATGTATTTACTGTGTGTGTTATATATGTACATGTTATTGTGGTGTGTATGTGAGGTGTTGAATCAGATGTCTTTGTCAATCACTTTTGAGACGGTCTCTTACTAAACCTACAGCTTAGGAGTTCAGCTAGGCTGGCTGACTGGTAAGCTCCTTGGATCTTCTTGTCAGGCTCCCCAAGCTGAGGTTGTAGCCATATCCTGCTGTGCCCTGCTTTTTACACATGTGTTGGGGATCTGAACTCAGCTCCTCATGTTTGTATGGCAGTCGCTTTACTGACTGAGCCAGCTCCAAAAAGTTATTATATTGTCTCACAATATAGTCCAGGATGGCCTGAAACTCACAGAGATCCACCAGCCTTGCCCTTCCAAGTGCTGGGATTAAAAGTGTGCATTACCATGTCTGGCTTTTACTGTATTGTTTAGGAAATAGTGACAATGAGCAAAAGTCTGTATAAAGTGTTGAGTACAGAACTGGAGAGGTGGCTCAGTAGGTAAAAGTACTTTACACACAAACTTTACGTCCTGAGTTTAGATCCCCGGAACTCATGTAAGTAAAAAACCAGATGTGGTAAGTGTACATCTGTAATCCCAGTACTCCTATGACAAGATAGAAGGCAGAGACAGGAGACATTCCTGGAAGCTCGAGGACCAGCTAACCTGAAATAGTAGAAGGGCAGAAATAACAAGAAAGACATTGCTTGAACAAGATAGAAAATTATTCTTTAACCTACACACACACACACACACACACACACACACACACACACACACTGATGTGCCTGCTTTCATATACTTAAAAATTTTCTTTAAATTTTTAAATTTGAAAATTTTAAAATGTGAAAAATTTTCTTTCACATACTTAAAGAAAAATTTTTTAAAAAAGGTAAGTTCTTGCTTTGTAGCCTAGACTGGCCCTAAATTAATAATTCTGGGATTACAGGCATGTGGTGCTGCACCTAACTTCAAAACTTTAAAAAAAAAAGTATATTACATTTCTTTATTCTCTGTGGGTGTGTGCATGTGAGCACAGTCCTGGAAGCTAGAGAGGGTGCTAGATCCCATGGAGCTGGAGTTACAGGGCCTTGGGAGCTGCTTGATGTGGGTGCTGGCATGTGACTGAGGTTGTCAGGAAGAGCACACTTGAGCACTGGGTCAGCTCCTCAGCCCTCTTGTTTTATCTTTGTGTATGTGTGCCTTCTGCCATGGTGTGCAAGTGGAGATCAGAGGACTACTTGCAGTCATTTTTCTCTGCCACGTGAGCCCTGGGACTAGTTCTCAGGTCCTCAGGCTTGGCAGCAAGTGCCTTCACCTGCTGAGCTGTTTCACTAGCCAGACCACAAAAGAGAAAAACCTTAAAAAAAGATTTGCATTGCCTGAATGTATGTGTATTGTGTGCACGCCTAGTGCCTGTGGGGCACAGAAGAGGGTATTGGATACCCCAGAACTGAGGTTCTAATGGTTGTGAGCTGCCATATATGTGCTGGGAAACAAGCCTAGGTCTTCTACAAGACAGCAAGTCGCCTTACTCACTACACCATCTTTCCAGCCTTGGCTTTGAAGCTGTGTCTCATGTAGCCTAGGCTGGTCTCAGTCTTTCTAGTTAGCTAAAGTTTAACCTTGAACTCATGTTCCTTTTTTTTCCACCTCCCAAGTACAGAAATTACTGATGTGTTCCATCATGCATTGCTATATTTATTTCTTGCTTATATTGCTTACAGGCACAACAATTTTCTGTTGTTTCCTTAGGACCTAGTGTGGTTGTGGTTAAACTGGGGAGGGATTTTGAGAGGAATCAGTTGATTAAAAGATGATTTTGTTTTCATCATTTATTTATTTATTTTAAGAAAGGCTTCTTTCTTTCTTTCTTTCTTTCTTTCTTTCTTTCTTTCTTTCTTTCTTTCTTTCTTTTCTTTCTTTCTTTCGACAGGGTTTCTCTGTTGTAGTTCTGGCTGTCCTGGAACTTGCTCTGTTGACCAGGCTGGCCTTGTACTCACAGAGCTCCTCCTGCCTCTGCCTCCTGAGTAATGGGATTAAAGGCATGCTCCACCAGCTCCCAGTGAGACTTTGTTCCGTCTCTCCTTCCTAATCTCATCACCCTGCACTACCTTCATCTCATCATAAAACCCCACTTACTTACCTTCAAGAGTATGGCACAGCTGTGTACCATACATGGTGTATGCCCTATATGCCACAGCACTTAGGAATCAGAACTTCTTTATAGGGATTTAGGGATACAAGCAGTCCATACTAGTAGGTGTTTTCTAATAAAGGCAAAGAAGACTCCATTTGTCTCTAGGCCATTGGCTCAGTGGATGCTTGGGCACAGGTAAGAAATGCTGTGTTTCAGGAACAGCATTCTTGTCAAGGCTGTTTTGGCCGCTCATGCCTCTTGTGCAGTTCTACTCTGACCCCGGTTTACAGTGCTTACAGCAAGGATGCTTTGATCATGTCGCCTGGGGACAAAGAAGGTACTTGAAAGGGAACCAGAGGGCGAAATAAACCACACAGACTGGCCCCTGCTTGATATCTTGCTATGAAGAGACACCGTGACCAAGTCAACTCTTATGAAAGAAAGCAGTTAAGTGGGGACTTGTTCAGTATCTGAGGACCAGTTCATGACCATCATGGAGGGCAGCAGACAGGCATGGCTCGGGAGCAGTGGCTGAGAGCTTCATATCCTGGTCCACAGGCAGCAGGCAGAGGCAGAGATAGATTGGGCCTGGCATTGGCATTTGAACCCCGAAAGCCCACTCCCAGTGAAAAGCCTCCTCTAACCACGCCATACCTCTTTATCTTTTCCAAACAGTTGCATTAACTGGAAACCAAGCATTCCAGTGTGAGCCTATGGGGACCATTCTCATTCAGATCACCAGAGTGGAGATTATGTGTTGGGGCAAATACAGAGTACTTGTCCCCAAACAAGTCAGCACCCCTTTGTCCATCTGTGTATGTAAAAAAGATGTTCATCATAAAAAAATATAGCTGAGTCAGGTGTAGTAAAAATAAAAATAAAAAAACCCCAACTGAACAATAGCAAAAAGTACCAGTTCTAGTGTAATGGTTGATGAGGAAGAAATGGACATAGTAATACACAGAAAGTACTTGATATATTCCTATAAGCACGGGTAACCTATGTTCTGCTAATTGTTGCCTTCTGTCTGCTTTGGACTGTAATGTTAGTACTGTAAGGTGAAGCTTTAAAAAATATATCATGTTTTTCTCTCCATTTACATTGTATATTAAAGTCTCCTGTTCTCTCCATACTTAAATGTATTCCAGCCAGGCAGTGGTGGTGCACACCTTTAATCCCAGCGCTCAGGGAGGCAGAGGCAGGTGAATCTCTATGAGTTCGAGGCCAGTCTGGTTTACAGAGTGAGTTCCAGGACAGCCAGAGATACACAGAGAAACCCTGTCTCAAAAAAAAAAAAGTAATGTATTCCAGAAGGTAAGACATTCTGTTTTTGTTTTCAGCTTTAGAAGAGGAGCCCCACCAAGACATGAAGGCCGTGCTCCCCCAAGAGGAAGGGACAACTTTCCTGGTCCTGATGACTTTGGTCCAGAAGAGGTTTTTGATGCTGCTGATGAAGCAGCCCGAGGCCGAGATATCCGAGGGCGAGGCCGGGCCACCCCACGAGGTGAGCATTGAGAACTGCTGAGTCTGAGGGCCAGCAGCCTGAGCACAGGGCGGCCTGTGAGCACAGTCTGTTTGCTCCTCTGTGTAGGGGGATCCAGGAAGTGCCTACTCCCTACTCCTGACGAGTTCCCTCGCTTTGAAGGAGGACGGAAGCCAGACTCCTGGGATGGCAACCGAGAGCCTGGTAAGGAAGGAGATATGCTTGTGGTTTGCTAGTTCACAGAGTAGGGCCATCTCCAGGTTCTGTCTGTCTGTTTAGTTTGACTCCATGGAGGCCGGTTGTCTTCTTGTCTGTCTGCTCCAGTGTTTTATCTCAACAGGTTTAATACAGAAACAGGTGGGAAAATCCAGCTTTGTTTATTTATTTATTTTTTAAGTAAGATAGTAAAGGTGATTCTGTGTTAAGTATAGAACAATACATCGGGTTAGGGAGGTGTCTCAGTAATGTATGTGCTGTGTAAGCACGAGGACAGTTGGGAGCCTTAGCCTTCTTTGGCAGCAGCACCTGTAACCCCACTGCTGCTTTAGGTCGGATGTAGTGGGGCAGTGGTGCACACTTGGGAGACAGAGGCAAGTGAATCTCTCTGAGTTTGAAGCCAGCCTAGAACTACTACATAGCAACTTACAGACCAGTTAGGGCTACATAGTACCCTGGCTTTGGGAATTTAAAAAAAAATCAAAAAATAGAGACCGGAGGAAGATACTTTATATTTCCATCTGACTTCCAGACAGCACTTACATAAATAATACCATTCTTTCCAATAAATCATCATCTATTTGGAAAATAATGATAAAAGAATTAAGATTTTCTTTATCTTAATGTATCATATCATTAAATTAAATATTTTTGTTGTTTTGTTTTTTAAGACAGAGATTCTCTATGTAGTCCTGGCTGTTATGGAACTCACTCTGTAGACCAGGCTGGCTCCGCCTGCCTCTGCCTCTGCCTCTGCCTCCCAAGTGCTGAGACTAAAGGCGTGCACCACCATGTCTGGCTGAGTAGATGTATTTTTGTTAGTGGACTTTTTGGAGTCCTCAGTAAATTTTTTTTGTATGTGTATATATGTGAGCTATGCATGTGTATATATGTGTGAGTGTATGTGTGTCTGTGTATGTTTACCTGTGTAGGTGTGTGTACATGTGCACAGGTGGGCATGCTTGTGTTTGCTTGTGTATAGAAGCCAGATGCCAACTTTTCTTGGTGGCTGTTCATCTTAGCTATTGAGGCAGGTGTAGTGATATTTTGTTTATGCTTTAACAAATAAAGTTTGCCTGAAGATCAGAGGGCAGAGCTAAGCCACTAGAGGTCAGGGAGTGGTGGCATACATATTTAGTTCCAGGCCTTGGGAGACAGAGGCAGAGGGATCTCTGTTAGTTCAAGACCACCTTAGGCTACACAAGATTGAATCTGTCCAAAAGAGAAACAGAGCTCACACAAATGTGATCCTGGCACTTGGGATCCCACCCCTTTTATCCTAGCACTAGGGAGGTGGAGACAGGAGTGATATGGCTGGGCAGAGAGAGGAATACAAGGCGGAGGACACGGGCTCAGTGCAGTCTGAGGTTTGGTGGACATAGATGGAGTCTGGAGATGCAGTCTAAGGACAGGGTCGCCCCTTTGGTCTGAGCATTGGTAGAGGTAAAAGAACTCTCTAGTGGCTGGCGCTCTGCTTCTCTGATCTTCAGCTTTAACCCCTATATCTGACTCTGGGATTTTATTATTAATACCAGTTAGAATTCGTGCTACAGACAGGGCTTCTCATTTAAGTCTTGGCTAGTCAGCTCCTTGCCCTGGGATCTTATGCACATGTAGATTTTATGTGGTGCTGGTATCTGAGCTCTAGTCCCCATACTTGGTCAGCAAGCACTTTTTCCTCTGTGCCAGCTCTCTAGCCCCTTTCTCAATAATTTTAAAGATCACAATGATAACCTGAGTCCTGCTTCCTCTTATTCCAGGAGGAGTTCCTTTTTCACATCTCTGGTGTGACTCAGCCTGGTCTGTTTAGACGTTCCTGGTCTCAGGTTGCTCTAAGTGGTATTACTCCCCATTGCTTTGGGCTGCACTGATTTACTGAGGTGAGACTGTCAGATCCTTAAAAGCACGGATCTTTGGTTCTCATTTCAGGACCAGGTCATGAACATTTTCGTGATGCTTCCCGCCCTGACCACCCACCTCATGATGGCCATTCACCAGCTAGCAGAGAACGCTCCTCTTCTCTCCAAGGCATGGACATGGCCTCCCTACCACCCCGGAAGCGCCCCTGGCATGATGGGTCGGGCTCTTCTGAACACAGAGAGCTGGAGGCCCAAGGAGGCCCCTCGGAGGACCGAGGAAGCAAAGGTAAGGGGACTGCAGTCCTATCCCAGACTGAGGGCTCTGTTGCAGATACCCGAGTCCCCAATCTACCTCAGAGCCTAGTGTGGGCAGAGGACAGGCTCTTACACTTAGTGTGAGTGTAGTTTGTCTGCCACAGCTGGATGGAACTGCACACTTGACTCAGCAGAATTTCCAGCTGCTTCCAGAACTTTCTTGTTGGGGGTTTCTGCTTAGCTGGTCCCCCTGGTTGTTGTATCCTCCACCCGTGGCTATTTGGAACCCTCAAGGTAATCCTCTCAGGGAAGGGAGAGTTATCCTCTTCCAGGTTCTATACCTTGCTTTTAGGCCTGGGCCCTAAAATGTTCCTAGGTGGCACTTTAACCAGGAGTAGCAGCCAGTGACTTCAACTACAAGTCTGGCTTTAGGTTGGGCTGGACCCTGGCCTGTGTGTCATGGAAGAAAGCTGCTGGATGCCCCACCTTGTTCACTTGCCTTTTATGTAGCCTTTCCAGAATGACTTGTGACTATCCGGTACATCTCTTGTTCTAGTTAAATGCAGCACTGTTCAGTATACTATGGTCCTAGATTATTCATGGGTAGTCAGGATGCCTGGCCAAAGACATGTGGCTAGCATGACAGCTACATAACTAGATGACAACTCTGCTCAGGCAACCATAGGTTGAGCTACCATGCTTTGCATAATAAGAAGCCAAGCTTGGCTAGGCGGTGGTATTGCACGCCTTAATCCCAGCACTTGGGAGGCAGAGTCAGGTGGATCTCTGTGAGTTTGAGGCCAGCATAGTCTACAGAGCGAGTTCTAGGGCAGGCTCCAAAGCTACACAGAGAACAGAGAGAAACCATGTCTCAAAAAACCAACAAAGAAAAAAAAGAGGGGGAAAAAAGACAAGCTTACTGCTTCCTCTACCATCTTCACCTCTATTTGATTAACTTCCACTTAAACATTTCAGACAAAATAGTTGGGAGTTGGAAGAACATGCTCCAGGAGATGATGAACCAATCACACCATCTCAGGAGAAAAAGTTCTATTTATGTTTTCATTTATTTTTGCAATCTGGAAATTAAACACAGGATCTTGGCACACAGTAGGCAAAGCACTGTACCACTGAGCTCAAGAAAAAAATTAAAAATTGTATTTATTCTTTGATAAACACAATATATTTGATAAAAACAATATATTTAGGTCTACCCATCCCAGACCCAACTCCCTCATGGCCCCTTCCCAATTTAGCGCTTCTTGTCTGTGTAACTGAGTTCAGTTAGCACTGTGTGTATGTGCATGGGTGGGGCATCACTGGAGCATGAGCAGCCTGTCACGGGCACACCACTGAAGAGCTTTCTCTCCCCAAGTAGCTTCACTCACACTTTTAATTGTGTTTGCTTTGTATGTTTGATGTGGGTGCCATGTGCACATGTGGACAGTTTGCCAGACTTGATCCTCTCCTATGTAGTCCTGGGCACGGAACTTGGATAGTTTAGCACCAGGTGTCTGTACCTGCCGAGCCACCTCACTGGCCGAAGAAAGGTTTTTTTTTAAGTTGGTTTTACTTACAGCTAATAGTTTGCAAGTCCTAAATCCGAAAACAAGTCAGTAGATCTCAGAATGCTGTTTTATTTTTGTCCTTTGAGAACAGGTGAAAAGGAGCCAAAGGGCCACACGCCATGGACGTGTACGCAGACCCTGACTGGAGCCCTTGTTGCTACCATCTGCAGCAGCGTATATATCTTAGTTGCTTCTAACATTATTTTGTGCTTTTGGAACCTTCCTTTGGTAGTCCAGGAGAGCAGAACATGATCCACCTTGGGGCAGGTTTCCTGGAAATCCTTAGTGTTCGGCTGGCTTCTGGCCTTTTGCCCAATGGATGTCCTCCATAGATCATACTGAGACCAGGGTGGAAATGAGGTCAGGAAGGGACAGAGAAATCCAGTCTTCTGAAAGCCACTGTCATCAGGGAGTGAAAGCTGTACCAGGAATTATCGAGAAGCAACCACTAAGATGTGGAATGTCATGTCTTGAATCATGTTTTGTTTTAGGCCGAGCAGGCCCAGGACCTTCCCAGAGAGTTCCAAAATCCGGGCGTTCCAGCTCTTTGGATGGAGACCATCATGATGGATACCACAGAGATGAGCCTTTTGGTGGCCCTCCAGGCAGCAGTTCATCCTCTCGAGCGGGCCGGAGTGGCAGTAACTGGGGTAGAGGGAGTAACATGAACTCTGGCCCTCCAAGGCGAGGCACTTCAAGGGGTGGTGGGAGGGGACGGTAGAAGTAGGGGCCAAGTAGCCCTGGGCCTCTCTGGATAGTATTTAAGAAGTTCTTGTGGACTTACCAAGTGAAGAGAAAAGAAGCCTTTACCACTGTAGCCCTGAGCTCTTCTTCTGGGGCAGCTGAGTTCTAGGATCCCAATGAGGTTTCCACGATGAAGAGACTGCTGCCACTACCTAGGGTAGTTGGCCCTGTTTTGTCTTGTCCACCCTTGTTGCCCTAACTCTGCCATGTTGTTTGTGAAGATAAAAGCTGGAATCTCCCCTTTTTTTTATGTCGTAAGAAATGGAGCACCTCCACAAAGTTGAGTTCATGTCCAATTGGAAATTTATTTCTATATGTACAGTTTGTCAGAGAAAAAAAAAACTTGTTTTGTATGAATACAGAATGTGATTTACTCAAGAAACAGAAACAACCGGCTGTGTAGTGCTTGCCTTAAAGAACTCTCGTTTCTCCTGCATCTGACCTGCCGGGTGCAGTTCCTGCTGTTACTGACAGCAGGCGAAGTCCATGTCAACTCTGCTTTTCCAATAAGTCTTACCTTCCTTCCTGGTTCACACTGTCTCCGTTATGCGGAAAGGAATGTTTAAAGTTGCTCTAACATAGTTCAAGCAGACTAAAAACTTCACAAGATTACACTGGAAGAAAAAGCTGAACCTAGAGGCTCTTGGACACATCTCCTAGCAGTTTAGGTTTGCGTGGACTTGTCTTCGTTGGGAAAGAAAGCTGGTGTAAACTGGTGCTAACTACAGGTGTCTTAGAGTTAACCCACACACTTCAAAGGAAGTGGAACAAAGTATATTTTGGAAATAGTCTCCTTTTCCACATTTGCTTTATGGTGGCTTCAGGGTTTGGGGTAGAAGACCGAGTGTGCCAGAAAGTTCTTTACCATGACAGATATCTTGTTTCAAAAAAACAACACACCTTTAATCCCAGCACTTGGGAGGCAGATCTCTGTAAATTCAAAACCTGCCTGGTCTGTGGAGAGAGTTCCAGGACAGTCAGGGCCACACAGTCTCAAAACAACCCCTCCCATAAATAAACAAACAAAATTGAGTGTGGAGGCAAAGGCAGGGCAGTCTCTGAGCTCCAGGTCAGCTTGGTCTACAGAGAAAATTCTATGATTCAGGGCTACATAGAAAACCTATCTGGAAAAACCACCCTCCCCCAAAGAAAAACAAAACAACAACCAAGTTAGGACCTGGAGAGATGGCTTAGCATTTAAGTGTACATACAGGGACTGGAATTCAGTTCCCAGAACCTACCATCAGGCATCTCACAACTACCTTCTAACTCCAGCCACACATATACACACACACCTACCTACCTACCTTCCAGAAAAGGAGAGGAATCTGGCTGAATTTCAAAATTTCAGTTTGAGATAACCTTTTCTATGCTGGCTTTTTTCTTTCTTTACTTTTTTTTTTTTTTAAAAAAGCCTGTTTCTTGTAACTTTTTTTTTTTAACCTGCATTTATATCTGTGCATCAGTTGTGTGGCTGGTGTCTTTGGAGATCGGAAGAGAGTATTAGATCCCTGGAACTGGAGTTAGCACCGAGTGGGTACTGGGAATTGAACCCATGTTCTCCTCCGGAGCAGCCGGTACTCAACCACTGAGCTGTCTCTTCACTGGTTTTTCTAAGAAAGCTTTTATTAAAAAGGTCAGGCCTGGAGCTGCTAACATTTCATTACATTAGCAGCTTTTGGGCACACGAAGACAGTTTACTTGGCAAGTTGAAAAGAGATGCCATAGTTGGACAAGTATACAGAAATCTTCCCTGGCTCTCTCTGGGTATGAAGTGAAGAAATGATTATTTGGGTGTCAGAACCTGAAGATTTCAAGCAAACAATTTTCTTTTTACTTCAAAAATAAAAGTGTCAGCACCCACACTATTAGAAGCTGTGTCCCTCCTCACCTGTATTCCCCAGCATAACATCAAACAACTCACAGTCAAGTTCCACGATGCTACACAGGGATTCATAAACACCCAGGTCACATTGTGAGGATGAATTCATTTATAAACACAGCCCTCTATATTATACATAAACATTTACAAACAGCATTTTAAATACTGTCAAAATATAAGATGTTGTGCTTTGAGCTTTATAAAACTTATTTCAAGTAATGAATTTTTGAGAAAATTTTAATACTTTGAATATAGTAACAAAAACTGTGTACATTACCACTGAAAAGAGCATTTCCTTTCTTAAGAGTGCTCCTTGTCTGCCTGGGGAGCACTAGAGAGAATGGGCTATGAGCCAGGATGGAATCACTTTGCTACTGCTTTTCCTGTTAGGGCAACATTGGGGCAGCCTGGAAAACAATTACTTTCACATTGTAACCAGCCAGTGCGCAGATGTGGTTCTCAACTTAGCCAAACATGAAAGCATCTGGGCATATATATTAATTAATGTCTGGACCCATCCCCAGTAATAGTAATGAACTGACAAAATGTGGCTTCTTTTGATGTGAGAACCATTGGTAAAATTATAAGCTTCTAAATACACTTTACTTTTTAGTGTATCAAGACTCCATACTGAATCCAGTTTTTGGTAATAAATGATGACAGATTTAAATGCTGTTTGGCTGCAGCACAACAAAAACAATTATGAATGAACAGCACTTTACAGTGCATCAGTATCAAATTGTATAGTACTTGAAAAAGCAGCAATACTGTTAGGAATAGTGAACAATTAGGAACAGCAAAACCTCTCGCTTACATCAAACCCAACAACTGCAGATGTAAGCTTTTCCTTGTCTCCCAGAACCCTTAAGCCCAGTTCTGCGGAAACCTGCAAACTTAACCACGCATCATCCTGGATATCTGGCTTCTTGATTCAGAAAATTGTTCTTTGGTGTATTGCTTTTACGATTAATTTTCCTTAAATATTATAAAGCACCATATTTACTCTTCACTGAAGAAAAAACTGAGGTACAATGTATTAACTAATCACTATTTTAAATCCAGTGGCTAAATTTAGTGTTTAATTTGATAATCTGGGTTGATTTACAGTGAATAGGAATACGGAGGCTTCAAAAAGTGGCGACAAAAACCGAACCTGTATGCTCAATTGCATATACCACTGCATTCCTTTTTTTAAAAAAGAGAGGGGCAGTTCTTCCAAAGCCATGAAAGCAGCCAAGTCAGCCGTCCCCATAACTGACGTCCATGTAAAGCCAGTTCGAAAGCAGTTCATGGATAGTGAACTGTGTCTTTCGGGGCCCGTGCTGCCCACCCATAACCTCAGAACGCTGAAGCCGAAGGATCTTCTGAGACTGCCACCCCGTCTGTCGGTGGCAGCTGCTCCTGGCTCACGGACTCCGGAGCAGTCCAGTGGGTGCCTTGTCCTCGCACGCTAGGGTGCCGTGGATTGTGGCGATGCCAGGCTGGTCCCGCTTCCTAAGACGGACGGTCACACCGGGAGAACGTTGGTGAGGCTCGCCCCACGTTTCAGGCGACCAAGCGCTAGGCGTAGCGCCGTCACTCCGCCCCAGGGCAGGAGCCCCAGCAGCGCATAGAGCAGCGCAGCTACCTGCGCGCACGCGCCGAGCGCCGTCAGCACCGTACTGCGCAGGACCAGCG